ATTGGTTTGTGTATAATAATAACAATTCGCTAAATATTAATTTTTGAAATAGAAATTTCATTTTTTGATAAATATTCATATTGTAAATCTGAAAGTAACCCTAAAACATTCATTTAATCATGAAATCCTGTGTAAGTGGAAAAAGGTCAACATGACTAATATTGATAAAAAAAAATCTCTCTCATTAGTTTGAGGGGAAAGGTTTATATTTTAATCATTTTTCGTAATCATTTGGGTATGTTCCTCATCATATTGAAGAATTGAAAACACTGCCACGAAGACTTTTGGTAAATATTTACAAATTTAGGGTTGTAGATGGACTAAAAAATTCTTTTAGAAATATTGAGCGCATTTGCGTATATATGTATTTATTGAAATGTGGATTTAATCTTTTATGTCAATTGAAGAAAAACGAATTTAATTTTTAATAATATTTCTAACTATTCTTCAGTTAATGGAGTCTATAAAGAAATGTGTTTGAAGAAGTATTTTTGGTGATTTTCTATATTCTCCTTATGACCATGTACCCCTAAAAATGGCTGAAAATTATAGTTGCAGTGAATAATAATTATTCTAAATTGCGCCGGCTGCACTATATTTAATATCAAGGAAACATGCCATATGTTTAAACTGATAAATAAGCAAGTGCTAATCTCATTTTGAAAAGTTTGAAAATCCTGTGACAAAGACTTTTCTGACATGAGTTCCACCTTAAGTAATACTTTAGCGACTAAAACGGGACGGAGGAGCTCACTGACCAAGTCCTTCTTAATCGCTAAAATTTTACTAAATTTGATCTAACTTGCTTGGGACATTAAGCACTTTTTATTTGGCGGATCCAAAGTTCTGCGCCAATCAAATTGTTTTTCGTGTTTTTGTTTAACAAAGCTGTCAAGTGAAAATTTGACGTCATTGTATATAAACTTAGAAAAAACATAACAATTATGTGCATCACCTGATAGAATATTTAGGGATTGCTGATTTGATAAAAAAAAAAAGAGGTGGGTTATGATTTAATGAATCTAACGTCTATTATATCTTTGATTTGTATTGAGTTTATAGTATATAATTTCTTTGTAAACATATTTAGTTCAGAAATTATATTACTTCCCATTGCTAAATATTTCCTTGTCATATACTTAGGTACTTTGAAGGAAAGAGGAATTGAAGCTTGGCAGAGAATGATTGGTGAGAAGGCTGACGATGGAGAAGAATTTGATGATGACATCACAATATACGACATTCCTCTACCCAAAAAATTGAAAGAATCAAAGCTTTTCAGACGTTTGCCTTTTATCCCCTCTCAATGAAAGTTATAGATCCCAAGTTACATAATTGTACAGTGTTTAAAACTTGTATTTGGGATGCAGCAAAATCTACGACGTGTTTGCTACAAATGTAACCATATAAAATAATGTGATGAATCCTTATTATTAAAATAAATCTGATATATAAAAACTTGAATAAAAGTGAATAAAATAAAATAGATAGCTTTGTTCAGTATCATTATGAATGAACATCAAGTGTTAGTTTAATAAGTAAAACAAAATGAGCCAGTAGTTTCTGAGTTTTCTTTTTCTTTATACGGTTAATACGGTTGTTCTAAATTATTGAAGGAATGTCAATCCGAAATGGGTAGATAAAGTTATACCCAAATTTATTTGACCCTCTTATATATAAATCACAAACACAGAATCTTTGATCTGAGTAAATTCGAATATGCGTGCCAAATCTGAAAAGTTGACCCACTACTGATCTCGAGTTTAAGCCAAATATTAAATTTTTCGAGATGAAAGAACAAACTAAACAAAGGCATTTGACCCCCTCCCAAACATCGATCTTAGAAGGCATAAAAATTGAGATCTTTTAAACAAAACAAAAAATGAAGCAAGAACTCAGTACTATAGTGAAAGTACATTTTATCACTGGTACAAGCACAAGCCCGTAGGAAGCAATTTCGGGGGGGGGGGGCACAGCTATACATATTTAGTTTGGGGGGCACTGCCAACTAACAAAACAAAATAAAGGAAGTCATCAGACGTTTTGACCAAAACAAAATAAAAGGAGGTCAGCAGACGTTTTTCTTGAGGGGGCACAAGCATATAGTACATGTAGCTATGTTTTCTATAGTAATCTACATGTATATATCGGCAAAAATTATTTGAGGGAGTACCCCCCCCCCCCCCCCCGGTTCATACGGTCATGCAAGCAGGAATTTCAATTCTTTTACTTTAATGATCTGTTTTACTCAGTTGTTAAGGGTTCATGGGCAAATCTTACAGTCAGAAGTTTTCAACGTTGACATTCAATCCTTGTAACTATGTGCACCACTTATGCAATGTTCTTCTTTTTGATGAGAAATCAGTTTTTTTCGACGATCAAAATTACGTACGTTCCCAACGCAATAAAGTATTTAAGATGAAACTATACTCTGCATTTACTTTGAAAAGGTGTATACTGTATCAAAATACGGTACATTTCAGCTCTATATATTTTCTGCTGGTAATTCTAATTTTAGAAAAAAAAATATAACAGGTTAAAATACACTTAAAATCCGAATAAAACTATATTGAACTGTTTACTAAGATCCACAGCATAAACTATCAAACACTTTTTTGTGATATATACAAGAATGCACTAGCTTTATGTAGCCGTAGACTGTGCCTTTATGATTTCATAAAACATAGATACATAATTGTGTTAAATATAACCCACACCAACCTTTCTAACTTCTTCATGTGTCTTTAATTATGAGTTCCACTTACCCACGATTTTATTCAGTACTTTGTGTACGATCAGGCCTAGATTTATAGGAAAAAGTAAAAATGAATAAAAAAAAAAAGAGTTGATGTTCAAAATATTGATACATGTATGAGTGAGAGAATTCCAGATTTTTTTATTTATTGCAGCGGGCGGATTTATTGAATCACCAGTAGTAATTATTATTAGACAGAACCATCCATCACCTATCAAAAAAAAAAAAAAAAAAAAAAAAAAAAAAAAAAAAAAAATAAATGTATACTTTAGAAAGAAATCATTTATAATCAGAGAAAATCAAATACGTAACATTATTCATACATTTCCTTGCGTAGTTTCCTTAATCAGATTCAGGGGGAAAGAATATACGATTATATATGATGCTTTCGAAACTGTAAATTACTAATCTCCGAGAACAAGATATAATTTAAACATCTACAAAATCCCCCCCCCCCCCCGTTTTGCAGTACGTTGGCCGTAACTTACACGAATTACATTTCGATGAGGACCGTAAATTACTGAATAGGTGATCGTAACCTATATACAGAATTAGGCTTTTGAGACAAATTTTCTAGTAAACATTCAAATCTTAATCTCTAAATAATTTTAGTTGCAGGTAACGAAATGCTTGATACGGACGCCTATTTAGGACCTGCCAAAAATATATCTGAATTCGATGTAACGATGTAACGAAATGTCGAATTTAATCGATTTTAATTTGTTGTGATTTTAGAATTCATTTAAACGGATTTAATTCCTTGTAACAAATTATTTTTTTTATTCGTTATAACGTACAGGATGTCCCAAAATATATGATACCGTTTGAAATGCATGCCATGCACAAACACTTCCCTAGGCCAATTTCTTTGATATATGTCTCTAAAAATATTTGAATAAGTATAATTTTTTAGCAACAAAATATTCCAAAAAAATTCTCACACTTACGAAACTGCAACGTTACAAATGTACATCAAACTTTTGCAAAAAACTGCAATTTCTATCAAAATGGATTATCAAAAGAGCTACCTACCCTCATTATGAAACTGTAATTATTAATCCTAATCTTAGGTTACTGCTGCTAAACCCAAACCAGAATCCTTAACATATATATAAGGTTTATCTCTGATGACAATCAAGAAGTTACTACCGAGACAGGCACTGTCGTCTCAAGTTAAGGAAATCTGTGCAATGTCTAGACATTATCATTACACAGAACGTCATTTAGAGGGCATCATTTAAAAACCATAGCATTTTTCAAAGTGAACTCATTTTGTTGTTTTCTTTTTAATGACTGTCAAATTATGTGAATAAAATTGGACAGCATATGCAATGTTTATAATGCATTTGTTATAATTCAGTATTAATTACATTAGGTTTTAAGGAATCTTGAAATGGTATCATATATTCTGGGACACCCTGAATTTTGAATTAATTAGTTTCACTTTCCTTCGTGTTGAGAGTAAAGCACGTATTTATAACTCAGGCCCGTACTAACGATTTTCAAAGTAAGGGTAGGTGGTGGGGTGGGGGGGGGGGAGTTACAAAAATATTTGACAAAGGTACTATATACATGTAATAAAAACAACAACAACAAAAATGAAAACTGAGCAGACTCGAAAATCCCATTTTCGGAAGCCTTTTACTTTTAGACCAAATTTTCTTTTTAATATAATTTCATGGGAGATTTCTACCATACTGCAAAATAATATGAGGGAGGAGGCCAAATCACCTTCTAGTGAAAATTTCTATACGAAATGTACAGCTATAGACTGTCCTTAAATAAAAAGGTGGGTAGGGGGGTTTACTATGGGCCTGTATATAATATGTTCTATCCCAGAATTATATTTTTGGTGAGATCAAGGATTTTGAAATGGTTAAAGGGGGGGGGGGGCAAGAAGTTGATTAAATGCAGACATGGCGCATGAATGATAACGCATACCAAACAATTTTATACTTTATAGAGGTTTTCATTTCGAGTATAAACTTGATTCTGTTGCATTTATGTACTTATGCACATACCAACAAGCTATAAAAAATCGAAAGAAATCGTTCGTGCCATTGCATATCTTTAAAATACAATAATATGGAAAATATCTGAATGTTGATTTGGTGTCAATATCAGAACGTAAGGAAATTCCGTTGTTCGTTTGAAATTATTTTCGAAAGAGTTTTGTTGCATTTTAAAAAAAAAATATTTACAAAAAAGGATGGGATTGAAAGATGACACTAACAAAAACTCGACAATGGCTGACGATGATAAGAATGACGCACATTCATTAGAATCGGACAAATCAATGAATCAGGCAGGACTGGGGGAAGTAGATGCTGTTGTAGAGATCAAAGATGAACGACAAAACCAACTTCTGTACAAAGTGGCCGACCACCCTCCAGTATACCTGACAATATTCTGTGGTCTACAGGTATTGCATGCTTACTTGTTTGTAAAATTACAAAATTAGCACAAATGAAACTAGAAGTTCAAAAAATGTCTGGAAATGTGGCCAAATGGCAGAGGTCTGCCATTAAGTCATCTTTATGAAGACTTTGTCATCTTTCAGTTAACTGAATGGCACAGTTTTTTTGCTTTATATAGTGTAAGAGAAAACACAGACCTAGCTGCAGAACTGTAGCGTTATGGTTTTATATATTACCGGTAGTCTTTGATAGTTATAGTCAAAGACTAATATATAAAACCGTAAAGCTACAGTTCTGCAGCTAACACAGACCTTGAAACGTTCAACTACATTAAACTAATCTTAGCGTTTTTTCTTAAGTACCACACCTAATTAAAACAAGATGTGCTTGTGAAACATTGATGCCCTCGTATGGCAGCTTATGACGAAGGTTAAAGTTTCTCAATGCAAGTCAAACTCCAAAGTTAAATAATCAAAGATGTTGTCGCCCAAAGAAAGGACTTGTTTCAATGGATATTCCTGGTAAAAATGAAAGCAAAAGAACCAACCATTCAAAAGTTATAGTCAAGGTTAATGTTTCCTGAAAGTGGGTCAAACACCAAGGCCAAGTGATCAAAGGGTCAAAATTAATGGTACGCAGGGGGAGACCTTGTCATAGGAAATACACATGCAAAATAATAAAAGCCCTAGCACCGACTGTTCAAAAGTTATGGCAAAGTTTTTCAAAAATAGGTCAAACTACAAGGTCAAAAGGTCAAAATTGTTGGTTTCCAAAAGGAAGGTCTTGCAACAAGGAATATAACTGTGAAATTCGAACGCCCTAGTTCTAACAGTTCAAACGTTATGGCCAAGGTTAAGGTTTTTTTTTTTTAAAGTGGGCCAAACTCTTAGGTCAAGGTCAAAACGTCAAAATATTTAAACCCATGGGGACGTTTTTCCCGACGAATACACATATGAAATATGAAAGCCAAAGCACTAACTGTTCTTGCAATTTGACATTTAAGAGTCATTTCGCGATATTAAGTACGGGAAAATATCATTCATTTTAAAATTCCATACATATGCTAAGAGTTCAATTTACTTCAATATAAAATCAATATTTATCCAATTTTAGACCGTCCTAAAAAGAAATCAGGTCAATCAGATGTAATTTTTTTTTGTTCAGAGACTAGGCAGATAAAGGATGTGTGCTGTTGCATATGATAAAAAAGCTGCAAAACGCTAACATTTTGTTATTAGATACTTGTCAAATGTACTTGAATTTATAAGGTATATGCATTATTAGTTAGTTGGAAAGATCATGTAGCAATAATGCATAAGATAACATTTCTACTTTCTACTTTTACTTATTAAAATCAATAAGACTGCATCTTCACAATGCAAAGATATTGTGATATCGTTCTTCCACGCAAACTCTTGACAAAAGTCGCTATTTAAAATTCGAAAGCCCCTATTTCATTTGTCCCTGGTCTAGTAGTAAAACCAATCAAAAAAGAACCTTTATTGTAGGTAAGTTTCGAATGATACATGTATATGACTTGCCTTTAAAATGGAGAGGGTCAATATTGCGGGATTTGTGACTAGTTTATCTTAAATAAAATATCGGCCATTTTTTTAAGATTCTCCTCCATACATTGAACCACTTGAAAACGACGGATTTGAAAGATATATTCTGATTGGTTGGTTTATAATTAACCTTAAGTCATGTGAAACCATATGCCCGACTTTTAAAGTGACTCTTGTCAAGGGTTTGTGAAGAAGATAAATACTACAAAACTTTGACATCGTGAAGATGATAAGACTGTAAATTCCAACATGTTTACATGTATATTTTATTATTAATCCTTTTTTGCATTTAAATATGCATGTAATATATATTTAATAAATTCATTCAATTTTTTACAAACACACTTTAATTTCTCTGTCTGGAAATATGGCAATTTCCCTTCTGGTTGCTGATGTGACGTGTGCAACTCACCTGGAAGACATTAAAACAACACTTCTTAGTTCTACACTTCTGATGTCAGGGGTTGTAACAGTGTTTATGACTCTAATCGGTTCAAGGTAACAGCTTTTACTCCGCAACATCAAAAACTTAAATGAGTAAGAATTTTTCATGGCAATGTTTAACACATTTATGCATGGCAATATCACTTCTATGGATAACATACTCGTATTTAATTTTTTTTTTCACTGTAGACTTCCATTATTCCAAGGAGCAGCAAGTGACTATCTAATTCCTCTACTAGCTCTGCAGGTTCTGGATAAGACCAGATGTGATTTTACAGACAACATAAAGTCTGGTAGACTTTAGAGCTTATAATTAAGAGTAATGCATTAATTTTAGATCAAATATGTCTTCAACACAAAAAGGCGAATTGGTTTTTACTAGATCAGTGATCGAACCTCCATATCTGCAATTATATGTATATGAAATAGACAGGGAACCTATAGTTGACAACTTTAGCATTTTCATAAGCTACGGAAGAATAAAATTGAAAAAAATTCCTAAAATGCTCGATAGCTACATGTATATACAGTGACCAGAGTGTCATGTTTTATATAAAGGCTTACCCCCTTGCACACACAGAAAGGAAAACATAAGGTTGTTACCTTGTATCAATTTTGCTCGATTCTTGTTATGAATGTTTAAAATTGAGAGGAAAAAATTCATCACAACCAGTCATTTTAATTATATGCATATATATATATATATATATATATATATATATATATATATATATATATATATATATATATATATATGCTTAAAACATCAATTTCAAATTCTTCTTTTACATTAACAGTAAGTTGATTTGACGCTCTCTACTTCGCCCTGAATCTAAAACATAATTTTGATCATTCCAGATTCCAATTCCACAACTGCAAACACATCTGTCATAATAGACCATATAGAATACATACTGAACAATATCCGAGAGGTTAGTGATCTATTAATTAATTATTAATAACAATTAATATTAATCTTCTTCGGTTTCGTACACATGTTAACATTTTATATTCTGTACAGATTAATAACAATTTTATATTTCGGAAAACAATCAATCCTCTCAATTTCGGCACGGTTTATCATTGTTGGCATGCGCATCAATTTATCATTGTGGGCATGCGCATCAATTGAGTTTGAGTGTTTCTGTACATTATTTCGTCCTTTAGGTACAGGGAAGCCTTGTGGCTGCTGGAACATTTCAATTTCTAATTGGAGCTACAGGTCTAGTCAGCCTCCTGCTAAAATTCATAGGACCAATCACCATTGTCCCCACTCTCTTTTTGAGTTGCATTTTCATCGTCAGAGCATGCGTCAAATTTGCTTCCGTTCACTGGGGTGTTGCACTGCTGTGAGTAACAAAGTCAATTATTTAAGAAATAAACAACGTTATTCAGTGAACATAGCGTTATGAATTGCTCAGCTGGCATATTCCATGATGCGCGCTAGCACAGCATGGAAAATATGCCAGCAGAACTATTGCTATTCATAATGCCATATTCACTGAATAATCGTTGTTTATTACTTATATTTGCATTTTGTGATGTTGTCAAGAGTATCAGAGGAAATTCTGGCTTACATAAGGGTACGGTTGCTTGTCTCCAGTAAAGAAAAAAAAAACATGACAATAAAATGAGTAGACCTGATTAATCAACCCTATCTCAATAAATTACAAATAATATGTATAGTATTTGCTTCTCAACTACAGTTATCTGGATACACACCGCGTCGTCTTCAAATTCTCGTATTTTTTTAATGCAGTTGTGACGTCATCGAAACCCTCTGAGATAAATTAACAATTTAACAGTATAATGAAAAAAGAGAATGTTTTACATTGATTTTAACTAAAGAATGTTTTTTACTACATTTTTTTAAATTCTTAAAATTCATTTTATGAGCTGAAATTGTTCTTAAAGAAAGATTTAGTATTACAGAAATTCTGTTTCATTTGAACGTGAAACACCCTAGCGTGAAGAATTATCGTTCTTTGCAAAATATGCGTATATATGAACAGAAAAAAATAAAGATACAGCAGTTCTATTCAATTTGTAATAAGTTTTATTATACAATTAAATACATTGACCAAAAAGTTTTTTTTTAAGATATAAATCAGCAATTTTAATCATTTTGATTTTTTTTCCCTGAGAATATTATTAAAAACTAATATTCATTCCTTTTGCAGAACATTTGGTATATATACTCCTGAACGCGTTATATAAGTGTATTAGCTTGTATACTGTGCGAGTGTGAGAAACGAAACTGCACTTATCGAAGAACAAGTTGCGTCTACAGTCCTATAAACGCAACTGTTAGTGCAGGTTCATAGTGGGAGGAAACAGAGAGAATGCAAATAATAATGCTTGTTAGATGATGAAAGAATCATATTCAATTTCTTCTTCATCGCCCCGACTTCCAGCATTTCCCCATTTCTGTAATCTGTGTGATATTTGATCTCGGTACATATTCTGAGGCCCGGGTTCGATTCTCACTCGCCGTGCCGCGTCAAACCTAAGACGTAAACAAAGGTAGTGACTGTTCCTTCCCCAAGCATCCGGTATACAAGTGAAAGTCAGGGGTCTTTCAAATAAGATCTTAAAATCCGAGGTTCCATGTCAAGGTAGTCGTTGGCACGATAAAGAACCCTCACTGCTCAATGGCGCCGAGTGCTGAGTGTAGGTCTAAATCTGAAGCCCTTTACCGGTAATGACGTCTCTATATGAATGAAGAATTCTCGAATGGGACGTAAAGCAAAATAAAATCAATCAGTCAATCAGCACATATTCTGGACTCAGTAGTATGATGCATTTTTTTTTTAATTATCTTTTGGACTAATTAAGAATCTTATGCTATTTATTTTTTTACAATTCATCTCTCAAAGACTGGTGTTGATGACGATTATCTTTTCTTTGAATAATTCTATATTGTGTATTTTTATAATATAGAAACATGTGTCTTTTGGGAATAGGGTTACAGCAGTGTCCCTGATTTTGTCGTTGTATCTTAGTCATCATAACACACCTATACCAATGTGGACGAGAAAGAAGGGATTTCACATTCTCTGGTTTCCATTGCACCAAGTTTATTCGGTAAGAAGACTCTGAAGTGACGCTTGATTCTATCATTCAGTAAAGGTTATCAGTTTCTTATTTGGAACAAATTCATCATGCTTACTCATTTAAAAAAAAATAAGATGATCAGCATATCTTTTCTGGTTTGACAGATTCTAATAGGAATTTTGATTGGTTGGTTGGTATGCGGCGTCATGACAATAGCAGGAGTTTTTGCTCCGGACGATAAGCTGGCCAGGACTGATACCGGATTGAACGCCATTAGAGAGGCTGCTTGGTTTCGCATACCTTATCCAGGTAGTATATAAATAACTTCTTAATTGTAAAATTGAGAAAAATATTATAACTTTTATGACAAGACATCTACTTACCTTATTATCGTGGTCTAGTACACATGTTTTATATATGTTATATTTGATTTCGACAAATCCTTACTATTGAAACCCACAAATGTTGATGGTTACAATTAATATAACCAACATTCATATATTTTTTAAATCTTTTTTTTTTTTTTTTTTTTTTGATATAGGACTGTTTGGTCCCATTTCATTTAGCACAAGTGTTTTTACTGAATTCCTAATAGGAACCATTACATCAACTCTCGACTCTATCGGTGACTACTACGCATGCGCAAAAATGAGTAATGTTCCACCTCCACCTTCACACAGCGTAAATCGTGGAATCGCTATGGAAGGGTTTTTTAGTCTCATAGCAGGCTTTATGGGATGTGGACACGCCACAACCACATATGGCGGAAACATTGGAGCAATAGGAGTGACTAAAGTATATAGTTAAAAGGGTATTGCCTTTGTAACGATCACTCATAACATATTGATATTCCAATAGTAGAGAAACTAAAGTACCAACTACCCATGTGCAAAAAACCTCAGAGTCTTTGTGCATCTTAATAAACTCAGCTTGACACAATGCTTCCACTGAGAGTAATTTTAAATTAAGCTTTGTTGCTTTGTCATTTATAATTTTGCTTTTTATCATTTTTTTTTTTGAAAAATCTGATTGGAATGGGCAGCATATAAATATCGTCCTCTCTCTTAGACTTTATTAAACAGGTTGCCAGTCGAGACGTTTTCCTTGCTGTTGGTGTTATTTATGTTTTATTCGGAATTATAGGAAAAGTTTCTGCAGTTTTTCTATCCATTCCTCAATCAAGTCTTAGGCGGAGCGCTGATTGTGATGTTTGGCATGTTTAATGGCGTCGTTCTCTCCAATTTATCATTTGTCTCCCTTAGTTCGTCCAGAAATCTTGCGATCGTTGGAACCTCCATTTTGTTCGGGCTCATGATCCCATACTGGTCGGAGTTAAACCCCGATGCTATTCAAACAGGTTCTACAGCTTAACATTTTACTGCCTGCTTAGATTTTGTATTAGTTTGTGAGTGGAACATGTGTTTTATTTATTTATTTATTTTTTTTTTTTTTTTTTTTTTTTTTTTTTTTTTATTTTTTTTTTTTTTTGTTTTCTCAAGGCGAGGCTTTGCTAAAACGTCATGTATGCAAGACATAAAGCGAATTTTTGTACTAAACAATAAAATTTATCAAAAAAATAAAATGTATCCAAATAATAAAATTTATCCAAATACATATGAAAATCAATTACATGGTTGCTGTGCAGATAATTGGATGCTGTATTTGTAGGATCCCCGTCACGAGACAGCGTGATAAAAATGCTTATGGTTAATTCTAATTTATGCGGGGGTCTTATGGCTTGTTTTCTGGACAACACAGTTAAAGGTAAGGAAAGAAAGACATCCATAAATATATTGATAGTTTTAAACCCCCATGGGTGCTTCAAGCGCTTAATTAAATGTATCATCACCATAACACATGTAATACTATATAAATAGTGCACATTTTTGAGGTTTTCCGAGGGGTGTCAGTTTCAACTGTTACACTCAAAAACGTGCACTATTTATTTTATTATACTGAATGTCTTATTGATTTCGGATGTCATAAAAAAAAAAAAAAAAAAAAAAAAAAAAAAAAATCGCAGATCGTCGTTAAGTTCACGCTTAGAAACCTTTCTAACTCCCCGCTTCTATTTATTTCAATAAGAAAGATTTGGAAAAGATTTACCAACCTCTTTATTGTTTGTTTGCTACTCAGGAAGTCCGTTATCATCTAAAGTTTGCACTCGCAAAGATGTTTCGTCTGTAGTTTGTTGTTTTCAAGTAAGCTACATCGGACGCAAGCTTTTATTGACGTCGTTTGTTCGGCTTCTTTCAAACGCACAACTGACGTTTTGAGAATTCTACGGTGAACCGTACGCGCATAATTTGAACGCATGTAACATTTTCGTAATGTTACCCGTTGTCAAGTGTGTTGCTAACGCTGCGGGTAACATTACGGATTGTTAAATGCGTCTAAACCAATCAGATTTTAGTATTTAACATGAAAGTATAATAAATTAAGTTATTTTATTTTCCTTCGCAACAAAGTTTGAGGGGAGGATACATTTACGCGCTTGTGAGTGTTTGAGTGGGTGGATGAGTAAGTGCATGCGTAAGTCAAATTTACATCGGGATCGATGTGTTCTTTGAAAGGGGATGCTCCGCTTTAAGCGGTACCATGATTTTTTTTTACTAGATAAAGTACTTTGAAATGACGTAATACGTAACCTTATTTCTGTTAATTCATCAACTTATTATTATTTTTGACATTATTTATATTTCATATATTTCACGCTTAGGTACTTTAAAAGAAAGAGGAATAGAAGCTTGGCAACAGATGATTGGAGAAAAGGCTGACGACGGAGAAGAATTTGATTACGACATTACGATATACGATATCCCCCTTTCGCAAAAAATGAAGGAATCAAAGTTACTTAGGCGATTGCCTTTCATCCCTCCACAATATAACTGAACACCCTTGTCATACCTTTTAAATGTTTTGCAATATTTAGACAAATGAGATCTGCAATAGCTTTGCAGACAAATTTATTAATTATTCTTGTAGTAAATGGTATAATTTTCATTCAACATTTTCTTTTAATACTCAAAAACAAATACAATGAGAAAATCTTTAAAACTTATAATATATAATATTTCATAGTAATAGACTACTTTTGCTCCTAATAAAATGAAGATTGTGCTTTGGTGTGAAATGGAAATTGAATATACACAAATAGACAGATGATGTAATTTCTGTCCAGAAGAATCCGAGATACGACATACATGTATCTCTGAAATATCTAAGCTCGCGGACCATCTATCTAGTCAAATATTTATGCTGAATTTATCAAATCAATAAAGAATTCCATCAGCAAATCTAGTCGTTTAAAAACTGACTGTGTTTAATTTTCACTTATCTGGACAGTTTGGTATGATGCATGATAAACGATAGAGAGACAGATTTAAGTAATCCTTTATCTTCAAAAAATGCCTAGCCAATCTGTCGTTTGTGTTTTTGAAGACGGACTTAACAAATTCATATAATTATCAACTCGCAACGTTGTTAGAGGTGATATAGTAACCGGATGATGTGTGTGTGTTACATGTAGTTTGTCTTTGTGCGAAACGGAAATGACGTAATTTGCATCGGGATCGATGTCTAATGCTGTTTTAATTTATAGATATGCTCTTTGCAAGGGGATGCTCTGCATTGCGGTGTCCGTGTTTATCATTTTCTGCTGAAAATTATTTTTTTAAACTGAAAGCATATATGTAAAACAAGTTATTTTGTCAGAATAGAAAATCAATCTAAACAGAGGAATACTACTTTGAAAGTTTTTTGAAGAAATAATTCACGATGGAAGCAACTTTAAAACACCCTTCATAAAGTGATATAATTAAACATTATATACAGTACTAGTGCATCTGTCTGTCTATAAATTTCTAAATGTGTCATATATGTATGTTTTTGCGTAATGAACATAATTATACTGACATTCAGCACTAGGTTTGTCTTATTACATGACTTGAAAATTCAACAGATGGGTATGAATATAGTATATGCATTTATATTAAGCAGATTTAAAACAAACGAAAATTATTATAAGGATGCCTCAACTAAAATGTTTAAATATGCCAAAAATATAAATCTAACTTTTTACATAATGAATGATTTCAACTAGCTTTTTTTGGTCTTTGATTCTTTCACATATATAACCAAATAACAAAAAGATAGGATGCATGGACTTGTGTATATTTTTGAACTTATTTTGATGCACATATCAAATCTCTAAAATATTAAGAAATTGGTGTTCATTTTTATTCCGATCATTTTTTCCGATCACTTGTAGAAATCTATATATTTTGAAATCCCTGAATAGGAAATAATTTAGAAATTTTTGTCTGAAAAATGAAATTATAAGCGTCTTAACTTATTCATTTTACATGCACTTCAAAAAAAGGAGATTTAGCTGTTATTTTCATAATTTTTGAAAAAAGATAAATGTGTGGATCATTTGTCCTCTATTATCTGTGGATTCTTGTATCTTAAATAGATAATCAACAATGTTGTGTTGCCTTATTTCACTACGTTTGCTTGAGATGATTCCTTAGACCTTTATTTTAACTCTTAACTTCGCAGTGAAACTTAAGGACGTACTCATCTAAGCATTTGAATTCCAAAGTGATATAATTAATATCTTTCAAAATGTGTTTTTATTATTTAGCTTTATTTTCAAAAATAATGTATGTAGTTCTGTGAGCAAAATAATAGCTTGATTTTTTTTAAAGCCGTCCATCCAATTATCTAATGCATTAAATAAAATACAAAACTTAATTCTCTCTCTCTCTCTCTCTCCCAAAAACCGTATAAAACGATAAAATTGTTTACCAAGAAGTAGAAATGTAATCAGACACCATAGATTGTATATTAATATGTAAGCTGTATGTGAATAAAATATTTGTTTTTTAATAAAAATGCTAAGACGTAGTTCCACAAAAAAAAAATTTTCAACCTCAAATTAATGAAGAACCAATAGACACAATCAAAGTGAATCTGAATTACCATGATGTCTTTACTGGATTACATAAAAATCCTTACAGACAAAGATGCCTAGCGGGTTCCAGTAAATGTTCTACCTAGCCTCTTTCTTTATTCCTCACTAAAATATTTGCTGTAATGAAGGAGGATCGTCAGGAGTATAGTTCAACAGCATATTCGAGAAGTGATGTAAATCAGATGTGGATACTTAAAAATTCCAAGGAACTTTTGGAAAATTTGAAATCACAAGATTTTACCAAAATCAACAGTTTAAAAACCTACGACTTTTCAACTTTATACACAACCATTCCCTACGATAAACTAAAGTCCAGGCTTTTTGATATCATTGACAGCTGCTTTTTCAATAAAAATGGAACTCGTAAATATACTTACCTTGTCATTGGTCATTTGCAAAATTATTTTGTTAAAAACATTCTGATTGTACACACAAGTACTCTGAAGTTGTTATTAAAAAGATGCTTGAATTTCTGATTGACAATATCTATGTAGTTTAAGGAGATCAGGTCTTCCAGCAATCTGTTGGAATTTCCATGGGTACCAATTTCGCTCCCTTATTAGGAGACCTATTTCTTGTAATCATATGTAGCAGAACTTATTCAAAAATTTCTACACGAGAAGAAAAAAAACACATGCTGTGGCCTTGAACTCGACATTTCGATATATCAACAACGTATTATCAATTAACAATTGTAACTTTCATTAATATGTCGACTCGATATATCCCAGTGAGCTTGAAATAATATACCAAAGATTCTGACATATCTGTTTCATGCATAGATATTTTACTAGAAAAAGACGTTAATAGTAACCTAACAACTTCCTTTACTCATGTAGCAATATACCTTTATCATCTGCATATGGGTTTTATGTCTCTCAGTTGATTCAATAGGCAAGGTATGCTCTACGTATGCACAATTTCTAAAACCAGGCAAGCTATTGAAAAACAAGTTTTTCGATCGATGACCTTATCAGCACATACAACCTGTCATTGAGTCAAATACTGACTGACGTTTTTCATACTAATTGTGAGGCCATTATCTATACACTGTGCTGTCTACGGATTTTTCCGGTTTTTGTTTCCCGATCATGACAAGAAGCACACGGCGGGTGTGACTGGTCGGCAGGGGATGCTTACCCCTCCATGGCACCTGGTCCTACCCCTAATTTTTGAATTTCGTGTTTGCTCTGCTCCAAATTTGTATCGTTTCATTGGACTTCTGAGATTGAATACTGTTCGTTATCT